CTAGTCTCAAAACTTGACTGGCACAGCTTGTTACTGTCACCTGCAGAATTAGTTAAATGGCACTTCACAGTCTATTCAAAAACTTTTCAACAGCAGAGAGATAAAAACAATGGAGCAATGTAAACTAAAGGCAAACATTATCATAATGGCCATAGTAGCAGTTTTGACAACTGTGAACTTTGTGCATTTCAGCTGGGTTTACTCATGTGCATATTCATTACTAATGAAAATTCTTTTTTTTTTTTTCTCTAAATTTTATTCCAAATGTTCTCTCCCCAGATCCGTTTCACGCAGGATCTAGGAAGCACCTCTCAGCTCCAGCCCTAATGAAAATTCTTAATTGTTTTTGATGACAGGACATTACAAGAATATGAAAAACAAATCTACAGAAAAGTAGAAAACCTAACTTAAAGGAAGAATTTTGATCCTAGTCTCTAACAAACCAGATGTGTTTACAAGGGCCCATACAGCAGACTTTCTTGAAATGGATTGTTATGTATCATCTGAAAAAGGTGCTAACATGAATTTACATGGTTTAAAGTCATAATAAGGAGCCACTGAAAAAAATACATTAGATAATTAGTACCTGAAATAATTGGGACTTTTTCATAATACTTCTCAGCAACTATACATTTCTACTCACCTCTAGCAAAAGGAAAACTGAAAACAGTACATTTTGTGGGCATTTGTGGGTTATTCATGTTTGAATGCTGAGTTATTTCTGTAATATGGTTGGTGGACCATCCCAAACAGGTTATTTGGTGAACAACCACAAAAAAATCTTCTTTCTGACAGAGATACACATTAGCCTCTCCTGATCCTGTGGAGGTGAAGTGACAAACACCAGGGAAGCAAAGCAAACCAGCTGCTGCTCCTGCCAATGACAGGAAATGGCCCCCTTCTTTCTAAGACCAGTGGGGCTGGCATGAAGAATAGCTATCTCACTTCTTCAGTGTAAACAAGAAATGAAATTGTTCTTTTCTAGGCTAATCACAAAGTGAATGGTAGCGTGGGCTCCTTCAGCAACTCACAAGATGATTTTGAAGACATTTTTTTGTGTGCATGCCGTGCACATAAACACAACAGCACAAATTCTGATGCTGCCTAACTTTGATGCTGGTGATTATAATGTTTCTTCCATCCAGGAACTCTTCCCACACTCACTCAGTCTGGGTTAGATGCTCTTCAACATTTTTCACCTACAGAGACCTAAAGGAAAATAGATGCCGGTTGGGCACAGAGCCGATAAACACCAGCTGGCCACCCTCTGCTTGTGCAGTATCCTCTCCTCTCACCTGGCTTCTCACCTGTGCACATGAGGTTTAATAACATCTCACCATCACGCTTACTATAAGGATTAGAAATAATACATGTAAGTGGGTACAGGGGCTTAGTAAATGGCAGCAGTTGTTAATGAAAATTATACTAATTTTGTTAGTTTGGGTTTAACAGTAGTCCTAGTATATCTAGGTAAGGTTCTAGGATATTAGCATCATTTTTCATACTCTATTCAATCACCTCTTTCTTGAGTTATAAATGAAACACTGCTCCATTTAAATTTCTAGCCTATCGCTCTGAAAATTAAAATGTTCATGTTATAATATGGGCATTTTCTTCCATCAGAAATGAAAAGTTAAAGGCTATGGGTTCTCTAATAGGCCATTCCAGCACTAAAATTCTAATATTTTATGATGAGCAATCTCTCATATCTGCTATTGTCTACGCATTGTTTGGTTGTTAGGGACAATGCTTTGTATATTACCCCATGCTACTTATGCT